GATCTGTAATTTAATGTGTTACATTACTGTATAAATTAATATATATATATATATATATATATATATATATATTCTTCTTTTCTTATTCTAGTAGTCTGATGGCTGAAGAACGCATTGAATTGTTCATTGAAACACTGACAGGAACTGCATTTGAACTAAAAGTTTCTCCACTGGAAACCATAATGTCAATAAAGGCCAAAATTCAGCGATTAGAAGGTCTTTCTTTTTTGTTCTTGAGAAGAAAGTTTGCATTGTTCGATGTTTACAAATGTCTTTTGAGTGTTTGCTATTTACATTATTAATCTATTGCTTATTGTGTATCATTATGTCAGTGTTATAAACAGTTTAAAGCTATGAGTGTGTAAATACCATGTGACTATTTGGAAATAATTACTGCATAGAATTTATTAATTTTATGTTGTGAATATAATATTGATTATGAGAGCCATATGACAGAAAAATTGTTTGTTTGCAGGTATACCCATCACACAGCAACATCTTATTTGGCAATCCAATGAATTAGACAACCAACAGAGTCTCGAGGATTATCAAATAAAGGATGGTTGCACATTAAAACTTGTCCTAGGAATGAAAGGAGGTCCCATAAATACACGAAGAGGTAGGCTTAACAGCAAAGTTTCTCTATGATTAAAGATTATACCATCATTTAATTCAGTCATTATTTTTTATTTAAGACATATTAATAAATGAATTAATTGCCATAGGAAGCAGTTTTTCAGTGGTCTGGCCATTGCCACAGCTAAACAAGGTAACACTCAAAGTGTGCAAAGCACACTACTGGCATGCAAAGCATTCTATTTCTAGAGAAGTCTTGGGGTGTGCCCCACCCAGAAATTTTTTGAAAATTTAACTCCATGAGATTGAATCTTGAGCCATTTTAACTACAAATACTGTATACACACAACATAATGTATTGAATTAAAAGAAGCAAGCTTTTATACATAAGTTGTAGCTATACATGCCTCACTGCTTCATATACAACCCTGTCAATAAAAGCATAACTAACAAATAACTAATATTTAGATGTGTTATGTCAAAAAGTTATTTGGTCGTTGACATCTTCAAGTACTATTGTCATCCTTTTGCCATGTGAGTGCATCCTTAGGATATTAAATTATTTCTTAAATATGTATATATGTTAGATTGAGGGGGACCAAAATCTATATGATCCAAAAGCAAATGGGAATGCTACACTAACATTTTGTCTTGGGAAGTTGAGACTTGACATGTAATAGATATGGTGTTTCAGCATACTTAAAGAAACAGTGCAATGTTGAGAAAACTTGTCATTTTTTTAACAGAGTGTTTAGCTTATGTAATGAGTAGTCATCAACACTAGTGGATTGAGGCTGGCACTTTACAAGAGTTTTAGAGGGAAATCAATAAATTCTTGAAAAATAAGGGTGATTTAAATTTTTACTTTACTCAAGAATGGGTGTATAAGGACAACATTGAAGGGCCGAATGGTTCCTTGTTGTTTGTATGTTACACAAAAGCAGAAAAAAAAACGAATATGTATGGCTGTAAGGTATTTGAAAACATATTTTGGTATAGATTTTAATTATCATATGAAGAATATAGCATTATTAAAATTTCCAATAAAAATAAGTCATTTGTGTGTGTAACATTGCAATTTTTATACTTGATCCCAGAATTAGATTCTTGGTCTAAGGATTTGGTAGAGTTATTTATTCTTTCTGGCCACCTTGCTTGGTATTTTTATTTTATTCCATATGGGAGAAAATTTGAGGAATAAACTACCTGATATAATTAAAGTATTATATGAAATTTGCATTTTATGCCATCTAGATATAAAGGATTGCTACATACGTAGCTATTGAGACTTCAGTGAAGCTTCTAGAAAGTTTACTCGTAAGATGATACAATTATCAATACAATAAGTCTAGATAAGTATTTTCAATGCCCTTAAGTACCAAGATGATGTCAATTTCATCATTATTCTGTTTCTTATCTAATTAATGTAGTTATTTCTTCTGAGAAATACTTAATGTAAACATTTAACAATGATCTAGCTAACCAAATTTTTTACATGTATGTTTAATATAATGTATGAGAAGTATAGCTAATCATTGGAGGAAATGCAATTTTGTTTTGCACATTATTTCAAACATCTATGATAAAATATATACATTATTTGTTGAACTACCTAATGCCTAGTATATCAGTGAAACTGACCATGTAGCAATACATATAATATTCTATTCAGTAAAAGATTAATTATCTAGATTCAAGTACTTTAAATTTAGTCATGCTGAATTAGTTTTTACACTTAATTTTAGCAATCATGAAAACAATTTGATATATGAAGTGAGAGTGAGGAAAGTCAAAGTGTCATACCAAGAGTATTTTTTAATTTGTTTCAAAGAAACCCTAATCATTCATAACATGAAAGAAGTGTTTAGTCCCTGTTTAGAAAAAATTTAATAATCCACTGTGTTGTTGTATTTAGTTCCATTAGAAGAAAGACAACATCTTCAACATGTAGCTGAGTACTTGAAAACAAGAAGGTAAACTTTCAGTTTAAATTAGTCCATTTATCTATGACTCAGTCAATAAAATATTAACTTATCTTTTTTAAAATATGTATTTTGTTATGTGTAGTGATTTTTTCTGAAATATAACATAAAATTAATTTCTTAACTCTAGTTGCAATTGTTTTAGTGAAGGCTACATGTAATGTGCATTGCTGTAGCATTTTTATAATAAGTTATGCTTCAATACCACCATTGGTTTACATTATTGAACTACAAACATAAAATCTTAATTGTAATTTTGAGCTTCATAATTTATATAAGTATATCAGAAGGGTTGAAAGACATTGAAAGTCATCTGTGTTACATTTCTAAACAAAGTGTTGCAAAAACTAAACAGCAATTCTTGGACTTTTATACTACTGACTCTCTTATATTTTAGAAAGATAAGTAAATTTGTAATGAATTAATAACTGATTTTTAGCATTTTCTTTAAGGTACAATTTATTATATATTGAGGCTATTGTAAAAAACATTATAAAATTAAATATTAAATATAGTACAGAATGATTCAAAAATTATCTTCATGGAATCATCATTACTTATAGACTATATTTAGGAATATGTACCTCAGCTTTCTTTCTTGTCCTTGTTTTTATAGAAGAAACTCAATTGTGTTGCACAGTTGTGAAAATAAAAGCATTTATGGTGAAACTAGCTTGAAATCCTAATGATCAATTCCATTTGAGCAAGTAAATATTGCCTTAGTTTAACAATATGAAATAAAACTGTCAGAGATTTTGTTCTTAGTAAAATAAATAGTTAGAATGTGTTTATTTACTGACTGGTATATTATTTGTGAACAGGTAAAATCATCTGATCATGACAAAATAAAATGTTAAAATATAATAACCAATATATAATTCTTGATTTCTATTTCATATATGCCAGTGATTTGTTGATATATTTGATTGAAAAAATTGTTCGAGTTAACCATTTCTGTGGGGCAATGATACTTCATAAAATATGCTTAAGTTAAAAAAAACTATGTTTTAAGTGAATTTTTGTCACTCTTAAGTTGAACTTCATAATCATTTGCATAGTGGAACAACTTTGAAAAAATTGTAAAATTGGAAAAAGCGTATGTTTTGGAGATGTCATAAAAAACATTCAAAGGTATAAACATATTTTCACACATGTAGCATATGAGTTCCACCTTTATAAGTGTTAATTTTCAGACATCTAGCAAGCTTAAGAATCCATTTGGTTTGAGACTTAATCCAGGCTTGTTTCAATTCTTCACCCTCTAGGATTTAACATTTGGGTGTGCAAATTCTTCTGGCTACTCTGACAAAAACATTATTGCCTTTACTAATTTTAAAATAACGTGTCATCTTTTAAGAATATGATTCTTTTTAAATAAAAATGCACCAAATGTCTGTAAGTTTTGGGTCCAAAAATGTACTACTTAAATAGAATTTTTGAATTACAATATATTATATTTGGCTAGTTAGATTATATTAAATGGATAATTTTTAAAAATGTAAAACGAATTAGTAATGAATAAGTCTTTTGTTAAATGCAAAGCTTTGAAATTCTTATATTTTTAGGGAGGAATTGAATGAGGGTCTTCCTAGTGGAAAACCCATGACTGTTGTAATGTTTCAAGATGGAGAAAGAGTACCATATGTACACTGTTGTTGATGTCAATGATGGATCATCTTCTCGTATATCTGGATCTGCGAGGTGAAAATAGAAAAATGATATAAATTAAATTTGTTAGGTGGATGTGACTTTTTAATAAAGACTGTATACAAAGATATGTGACTGAAGCCATGAAGCCTAATCTTTCTAATTACATTCAAATTAAGTATTTTTAAGAATCATCTCAAAATTAATGATATAGGTTTAATTACTATGAATTTGTGATTTACTAGGGAGTTAAGCTATTAAAATGACATTACTCAAATATATTGAATTATTTAACACTAATAGTTCAGCAAATAAGGAAGATTTGACTTTATAGGTATGTTTGCAATGTGATGATAAATCAGATCATTTTATATTAAATTAGAACTCAGATGAAAAATTTTGAATTGATTTCTGAAGTCAGACACTTGTTATTAACACTAAAACAGATCCAGATATATCTTAAATGTAAACATTTCACAAAATATTTTATTTAATCTTGTGTATACAATTTCATAATTCCAACTGGTAGTGTAATTAAAAAAGTCTCACCTCTTCACACAAAAATGGAAATTCCCTCTCGTGCTAGCCTTTGAGATTTGCATGCCACTAACCTTGACCTAATTTCTACTTGAATTCACATGTTTAACGTGAACTGAGCTGTTGCATGATGAGATCATCATGCGACAATAGCCCTCCACCAATAAGAGGAGGTAGCAGGTGCTGCCTCCCAGGGTATTCTTATTTCCCAAAATTTGCTTTGGACCAGGGGTAATGGAAAGCAATCAAATCATTCACTCTGGCTCTATCAGATGAGGTATTCTGCAAAACCAATAGAAAATCATCATGGTGTACAAGTTGACTCAGTTGTCCAATCCAGACATATCCAATTATGTGGACTGTCATGGAAAAAGCCAGCACCAGGGAAGTGACTGCCCACTTCTTTGGCTCGTGCTTGCCTGCTTTAAAAATTGGGTTTCATGGTCACCCATTGCACTGTCTCCAGTAAAATACCTTTCTGGCTGGTGATCCGATAGGGATCCAGACACTTTTTTGGGTCTTCCCAACACACATCCTTCCCATCTTCTTAAAATGGAGCACAAAAGACCCTTGCCACTTACAATTTCTTAGCCACTGGGGTGGTGGACCATGGAGAATTCTCATTGGTTGGGCTTAATGTAATACTATGAGAAATAGGGTGGTAGTCACACTGTCAGTGTATTATGGGTCACAGTAAAGTTGAGGTGAGCACACACCATAAGGTCTGATTGTGCCCTAATCACACTACATGTATTGGCTCAATGACCACTTGTGTGCAGGTGCTTGGTTGGCCATGATCACATTCCACCAAACTTTGCAACACTTCAGGCTCTTTCACCTTTCCCTCCTTGGTTGAGAGAAGATGCAGTCTCCCACGTGTGTGTCCCTATGAAACCTTGTCATTGGGTGTCACACTCCATGGGCTTTCCTCTTTGGTTGCATGTTTGTTGCAGTTACAGTCATGACATGCCCCTATTCCATTCCCATTCGGGTCCTTATCCGTCTGTCTCTGTACCCCTTCCAAGGGTTTTTCATCTCGTTGTTTTTTTCAACGTTGATGAGCATTTTGCCAACAGTACCAGAGGCTAACCAGAGGGTTTCGGTCAAGTTGGAGCTTGACTATATTGTCTTGTTATCCTTTGGCATTCTTCCTCTACAGTTCCATGGGTTCTTCGGGTTTTATCAAATGGATTTGTCCTACTATTTCTTTCCCCATCTCCTTTGTCCCTGGTACCCTTTTCCTTCCCCTTGACTTGGAATCCTGTCACTGGCCTGCATCTGTCCTAGAAGGTACAAGATTTTCTTTCTCTTCAGGCCATTGCACCTGTTCATCATCTTTCTCCAGGCTGTTTGTTGTCCTCGTGTCAAACTGGAGACTAGCGGTCTTTACTAGGTTTGACCTGCTTCATTCTAATTTTTCAATCTGCCCCATTTTACCTTGGAATCGTTTCTCACCCTTAGGTGGGCTTTATCTCCAGATTTTTCGATGACAAAGAGGAATGTTGCAAATGATTATCCTGTCACTTGCAACCCTCTCTTTGGTTTATTCTCCACAGGGTGGTTTCTTTGTTTCCTGCACTGCCCTTCAAACTTACTTTGGCCCTGAATGTTTTGTCAGGCATTCATCACTTATATGCTCTTGGGTTGTGCTTTCCATTTTCTTTAGTTGACTGGCTACTGTTTGCTTGTTCTGAACAGGATTCTGCCTGTTACTTTTATCAGCTGCTCCTGGAGGTGGCTATAATGGGCTGTTAATCAAGTTGGAGAAGTCCTTACTGCGACCTCTCCAATATCTTGTCCATTTTGGTGTTTTTCTTTTTCTACACACATCTCATTCAGACCCACCCTTCTCCTCTATGTCTTCATTCAATGGGTTTCAGTTTGATTACAGCTTGTAAAGTTCTGTTGCTTTTGGGGATGTGATCTTCCATAGTAGCTATTATCCCTCTTAGGTCAGGATCATATGCGGGCTCTATTGTGGGCTTTTCACAACCATTGGAATTTCACAGGGATCCTTTGTGGGCTCTTATTACCCTTCCTCATACCCTTGTTGTCAATCGTTTTAGGTGGTTATATATGAATAACACATCAGTGGGTGTCCCGCTTCCTCCTCCTCAACCAGTCTTCCACATTTCATGGATGCATCACTTCAGGGATGGGAGGCATGGGTTGATTAACTCTTGGGACTCCCTGATTAACTCCCTGGGACCGACCTAATAACCATTTTGTGCTTGTTATAGTTTTTATGCTATAACTTTAATATTTTAAGTGTATGTTTACAAAATTTTGTAGTTTTATAGTAAACATTAGAAGCCTTTTGCACACAAAAAATCAGATTTTTTTTAATGAATTATTTTTACTTATATTTGTCCGTGAAAATATCGATTTCTTTTTTTAACTAGTCTGAGTGCAAAGTGATTTTCATTTTAAGATTTAAAATACTTTTCTTTGTTTCAAAATCTCGAATTTCATTTGCATAACCTCTGAAACCTCCTAAATACATATATACTTTTTTTTTCAATAAATTGTTATATTCCACCTGTTATTACATTTATTACTTGATTCTTCAGCCTGTAGACAACTCATTGAAGTAGAATGAAAAGAAAAATTGTAAAATCAGAAATATAATGAGCAGCTGTTTCCTTTTTCTTCATTATTGGTCATGAAGTTTCAAAGTTCTTTCAACTGCTAAACATATCCCATATATTATCTGTGTTTATTTTACTGTCACCGACAAATTACAAACCCGCTGACAAAAAAGCAATAATTCACCACCCATGTTATAAGACTGTTTATGTACAACCTTAATACAAAACTCTCGAGTGCAATCATGCATGCGTATTTCAGTGAGATGACATTCCCTTTGCTCCGAGAATACAAGATGGAATGTAGCAGTTTATAGTTCCTACAACACTTTCAACAGGAATTTCCCAGGGTAATAAAATTGCAATTAGAATGTGTAAAAACATTTATTATATGGTTCAGAGTTGGGCTGATCCAATAAACATTGTAGGTTCTGAGCCGGGCTTATCCAATTACATAGCAGGTGTTTCAGTACTATGGTCACCCATTTGATGTGTGTGGAATTTTGCAGCATAAGTATATGAAGGTGTTATTTGGGCACATTCTTATAAATGATACTACCCAATCTCACTATCACCACACTTAGAAAGTAAATGAGAAATACATTGACAAACAAAGATTTTGAGGATGTAACCGTGTTATGAAATGTTGCACTTGTGCATCAAACTTGCTAAGCCCTGACGTAAGCCTGGTTTATTCTTCTGGGTGGAGGGGTAGAGATACTAATATTTTAGGCTTCAAATATGAATTTTTGAAGACCAAAAAGTTATCAAATTACTGTACTAGTACACTCAAAATCCCTTTAATTTAGTCGGGTCTCTAAATAAACTGTATGTGGGTAAAAAAAATCCCATTCCTGTTCAGAGCAACAATTAAGTCATCACACTTCAATGGTTTTGACAAAATTATTTTTTACTCCTTCAAGCTATTTAACACAACTGTCAGAGTTACGTAAGGGTAAAAATGTTCTTTCTATTGGTTATAAGCAGTAGCTAAGTAGTAGTAGGTGGGACTAGATAAGAGCTTTCAAAAGATTGGTGCAGTGAGAGGAGCCACTCTAGTAGACTCGCTAAAAATATTGCTATCTCGGCAAATCATAGAGGAGGGAGGTTCTTATTTTATATTTATTGCTTGTCTATATTTCAAATTCGAGTTTCTAATTCGTTAGCTACTTATACATGTTGTATGGTGGGCATAATAAAATGGCAACTGAACAATAAGACAACTGGATGTGTTATGTGACACACAAAATCGATATTTAACATTTTTTTCTTTACATTTCCTTTTAAATTAAGAAATTAAAACATATATAATATCAAAATTTAAATTATAAACTACATTTTGATGCCAATTTCATTGATGTAAGTAGTAAAAATGTTATTTAATAAAATTTTGAAAATAATGCTCCAAAACATCATGACACGTGCACTATAACCTACCCTGGGCGAAAGGGTTAACTGGAAGATTCAGGGTTTTTGATCTGAGGCCAAGAGGTTTTATCCTATCAACGTCCTGGAGTTTTTCATTGTAAGCCATGTTTTGGTTCGTTTTCTCCATTTGCCTAGAAATTGTCTAGTTCTGATCCATTCTGATTTTTATTCAGTGGTTGCTTATTTCAATCACCAGGGCAACACCCATTCTCCATCCCTCTTTACTCATATGTTGGATCTTCTTTTTGGGCCCACATGCTCGATATTCCTATCATTGCATGTCATGTTCCAGGTGCTTTTGCTCTTGTCATGGATTGGATTCCTGTCAAGACAACTTTTATCCGATGGAGTGGTCTCTCAATCCTTTTGTTTTCCAGTGGCTTTGACTTCAGTGGGATAATCCTCACATTGAGACTTTTGCTACATCCCTTAACCACAACTTGCCTTAGTTTTGGTCACAGGTTCCTCAGCTTCTTGCTCTAGCTATTGATGTTTTCAGCCAGGATTGGACCTAACATTTGTCTATCCTCCTGTTCTCTTTCTTCTCCAGGTGATTTCATTCATCCTTATCACTCTGTGTTCAGTCCTTTTGATAGCTCTTTCCTGGCTGTCTCAGCTGTGGTTTCTGTGGCTTCTTCAGCTCCAACTTCCTCTTCTTTTACTTTTTCCTCTGTCTCCATCCCTTCATTACCACCTTCAGTCACTGGTGTTTCATCTCAACCTTCGTATCCTCTGTCTTCACACCTGGTTTTTCTCTGGTCATTGGATAGGTGTTCCGGCTTCTCCTGACTGTTCACCTCTTTCCTGGCTTGTTCATTCACCCTTCCTACATGAAAGTTTCTCAGTGGAATGTTTCTGTCATTGGTTTTTGGGTCCAGGATTTTCCCCTGATCAACCCATTCTTCTTAGTAATGCAGATTTCCGCTCTTGACTTTTGAGTCAGGGATCTTCTGTCTCCTCAGTCTCGGATTTTCTGGCCATCCTGTCCCACACCTTTCATTTTTTTTACGATCCTGCAGGTATTTACCCCTCCTCCACTTTACCTGTGGATGTGTTCCTTCCGGATTTGTCATCTGTCATGCCAGGCTGCCCTTCCGAATGGGGTTATTAATGTGGTCCAGCACTGCCTCACTTTGCCTATGTTCAAGCCACTCTTCCAGTGCTCCTTTTTTTCACCTTTCCTTATGTTTTCCTTCCTTCTATTCGCCTATGGACATCAGTGGTCTGTTTATTTGCCATCAATATTTCACCTACTCTTTATCCTTCTACATATCTTTTCCTTTCTCAGGATTGTTTTTTCTACATAACACCTCAGTGGCTCGTGAGGATAACTCTTCTGTTTAGCTGCTTTCCCTTCTTTCCAGTTCACACCTTTTATCCTCGTCCTCATCTGGATAGACTTCCATGTCCTGTACGTGCTCTTCTTTCTTATATTTCCTGTACAGCTTCCTTCTGTTCCCGCCTCTTTCTTCCTTGGTAACTGTCCTCTTTTCGTGTTCTTTCTCCTTCCACCTTTGCCAATTCTAGAATATCAGAATTCAGTGAGACTTTGACAGAGTAAGTTTTTTTTTCTTTTCAGGGCCCATTTCCCTTTTATTAATGCTCATTGTTTAGATTCTGCTCTGTGGTGAGTGGTGCCTGACAAGGTATTCTTTAAGTGTTCAAATCCGACTGTCAAGCCATGTCGACTTGCATATTATAATTCCATAGCCACGCAATGCACACATAGAGATGGGGTGTTCCACAACATCGCTTGTAGGTTTATCCTTGCAATAGAATTGCTTCATACATTTGCCTGTCTCAGACCATACCCACCCATAGGACTACATAGGTAAAGCAGAAGGGGATAGCTGCCCATCCCTGCCATGCTTTGTATTGAATAAATCGGTATGGTCTGTTTTTAAAAATAGGGTTTCATGATCATCCATTGTGCTGTCTCAGGTATTGTCATTCCACCAGACTCTCCACCGTGTTTTACCCCATTTTCTTTTAGTGGATTTTGAGAGTCCTTATCTCTTTCCAGTTTCAAACTGCTGGGGTGGTGGACCATGAAGACATCCTCCTGAATTGGTTAATAAAATACAAACAAAAAAATAGAAATGATTATAAAACCATTCAGTTGAAATTAGGGCAGTGATGTTCGGCTGGTGTAGATAATGTGATATCCTACAATATGAAACATAAAAACAAATGGGAGTGATACATCAAAATTGCAGTTCACCCCTTCGATTGGGATCCCTCATCCTACCCCTATGTGGATGTCAGTTTCCAGTAGCTGTATTTTGGAGTTAGATTCGAACCAGTCAACATAAATCCTCACACATGTATTACACATGTCTATATTCCTACCTCATTTATACTCCATCAGTGTTGTGGGTCACAGTGGAGGTAATTGCGGATTATTCTGATTTTTTTCCTTCTGCGCCTCCCTCAATGTTTCTTATTCCAAGGATGTTACTATGCTTGGGGTAGTTCTGGTCAGTTTTACTTTTGAGGGAGATAGTTTACTTTATGTAGACATCTTTTCGATACAGGATGTCAGGTTCCCGGATTGATCTATCAATTTATCATATTCACATGTGCCCCGTTCATGAGTCAGGGGGGTATTATGATTCCTTCCAGTCCCATGAACTTGAGATGAAGACGGTATGATCCTATTTCTTACCTCTGCCAGATGGCTGAGTTTCGGATTGTTGTTGACTTCCCAACAGTATGATCCTCATTCTATCCCCACATGAATGTTGGTTCCCAGCAGCATGGATTTTGGATGTAGTTGACTTGCCATGTACGGTCCATTGTGCCCTAGCCACTCTACACCTAGGTATACATTCTTTTCCTTTTATCTACTTTTATAATTTGTGGGATTGAGTTTCATACATATTGCATGGTTTGGATCACTTTCCAGCCATAGTTCTCTCCCAATTGGATGTGCTCCTCTGTTTTCCGTCCATATATGCAACATCTTTTCACAATGGGTGAAGAGTATACCTGGCTCAGAAGTGGTGGAGTACCCCACATCAGATCTTAGAATTTGACTATCTCATTTTAGGGAGTGTCCTTCCACCACTTTCAAAGAATGCTTCTTTCTTTCCCTCGTACCAGTCCCTCCACCTATTCAGTGTGGGATTCTAGCTATTTGTGTGAGATGAGGTAGTGTACCGTATCGGAAGTTATAATTTTCCTACACTGAAAATATATTTCCAATAGGTACTTACCTCCTCCCACCCTTCCTCCCCACTGAAAACCGGTGCTTCCATCTTCTGCCAAAACTCAAAGAGATAGTTTGGTAGAATTGAATAGAGGGAGTCACATGTGTCACAAGAGTATGTTGCACTCTTATTGGTGGATGGTTGACGCATGATGATTTGCATGAGAGATGCATTGGAATCGGTCAATTCCAAAGGAGGGAGAAGGCTTGTAGTATGTGTAAAAAATGTTTTTTGCACATAAAGGGCAGCACTGAACGAGAATAGCTATTTATGTAAGTACCTATCGAAAATACTTTTTCAGTGTAGGAAAATTATAACTTTCAACTGAATCTCTCTGTTTATGTGTATATCTTAATTAAAATTTGGTTTCACATATTATTTAGATAAATGCTTCATTTTAGCCAGTATACTTCAAATGACAAACCATTTTCAAATTAAGTATTCTGAAGTTTACATAAACCTATTCACAAGAAATAACACAATTTTTTTGTATTCATTTCAACAGTAGCTACTCATCTAGTCAGAATCTTACAGATGATGAAGCTGAACTTGCCAGAATCCAAGAAAATCTAAACACTAGGAAAAAAATGAGCCTTCTTCAGGAAAAGATGAAAACGCATGGCATTAAAAAAAGGGTATTTTTTTAATGTTTTGGCATTCAAAATCAACAACATAAGCTATTTCAATTTGTGTTATCGTTAGATAGTTCATTTTGAATTCAAGAATTCAGTTGACTGCAAATTTGTTTTGGTCGAAAAAAGTGTCAACATATAAGGTATTTTGTTTGATTTTTTTTTATATATATGTATATCATTTTTGAGATCACAGCAACTTTTTTTTCTGAATTATTGTTAATTACCATGAGTTTACATTTTTAATTTCTTAATCCTCTCTACTGATATTTTGTTAGTGGCATGCTTATGTTTGATGTAAACTAAATCTTTTGGGATGAATTTGGATGACAAAATAGATTTAATTTTATTAGTCCCAACTTGTTTGTTTCTTTATTAAAGCATTTAGCAGTACATATGGCATCCTTACAACTAAGCCCAGAATATTAAACTAGACACAAGATCTATGATCAATTAAAACTTGTGTATGAAAAATTATGAGTGTAGACAAAGAATAAACAGAGGTTAAATGCATAAAACCTTTGTAAAGCACACACACCGAAATAGTATACTGTGGACTTCTTTACAACACTATTAATATAAATCTTAATAAGATAACAGAGAAAAAAATCACCTAGTAATTATATTTTTGTACATTAATTTTATACATCTTAAATACTAGTGTAAATATATCTTTTTTGACTACCCCTTAACCCTGTGAGGCACATAAATACGGTTTATGTTTCATGTTGAAGAAAATTAGGACAATAATTATAACATTCATTACAAAAATTCAGATCAACTGAAAAAATTTGAAAATTTTAAAGAAACACTGTCGCTTTCACCCAACTTCCACGGACAAAATTATATATATATTCTTTACAGTTCATTTTTATACATGTCTTCGTGATCACCATTTGGTATTCCTGAGAAAATCATCAACAATTAATAACACTGACTAGAAGATTTAACAGTGCAGACAGCTTTTTTTTAATATCTCTAACTTTATTTTGAAATCAAACAAACTTCAATTTTGCGTATTGTATATTGCTTAGTGTAATCAAGTGTTTATTATCTACTGAGTGTTTACTTCTTTACTTATGTTTGCTTTGTATTTTTAGATAAGAAAAATCATGTGACAGTCTGAAACTTGTGAAGTAAAATAGACAAGAATATACCAATTCAAAATCAGTTTTTTACAGAAACTATTCATTTACACTTAATACTAGCACAAGCTTTATAATTCTGCTTTAAGAGAAGGATCCTAAAATTGTTGTAATTTTAATAAGAATTAGAATCCTAGTCCTATCTTTGTCCTAAACTTATAATTAGTTAGCTATCTTGTATTATTATGTCAAAGAAGACCAAAAAAAGGAAGCCTAATTGGTACCACATCACATATAAAAGAAGTGTCATAATCTGTCTTAAAGATTATACTCTGTAGCTTGGGAAAAGTAAAATGTTCTTTTCAAAAGTTAGGTTTAAAGTCTTTGAATTTGTCAAGCTGCCTATATCTTGGAAATGTTGTGGACTTCTATTTGTCATTAATGTGCTTACTAATCAAAATTAAAGAGAATTTTAAATCCTAACTTTTCAGGAAAAAAATTTTTGTTTCATAATATCAAGCTCTCCATTATGGCTGCATTTGATAGTCACACTAACAAAACTTACTTTGCACAAAACTGTGTGCGGACTTGCATGATTGCATGTCCAGAACTCCTTAAATGACTGATTGTATTATGTTCACATTAGAACAATTTCAAACCACACAATTTAAATTGTCTTAGATCTAAAATAGTTGATAGTTAATTCTAGAATAGAAAAAATCTGTGTTGACTACTACATTGCAACAATATTATCTATAAACAATAAAACCCTTCATCACACACACTATTAACTAGTAAAGATAACATGTAAAGATACAGTGTAAAGACACTACTTAATTAATTATCTAAATTTAATCTGTTCTTAAATGTTATTGAACTAATCATCTGTGCTGCTTACTGTTATGTTTATAATTATTTTCAAATAACATTATAGTTCCTAGTGTAATACATAAGATTGAGTTAGCTGAAAGCAGAATAATTTTGTAGTGCCTCAACTGCAAAAACAAAAATCATAATTAGAGGAATTTTACGTACTAAATATCAATAATAAATAACACCGTATTTTAATTTAAACATTTGTACATGTATCTCATTTACCTGCTTATACATTTTATAATGTCATATAATAAGCACTTTCCCCCCAGTGGCACAGCAGTATGTCTGCAGACTTGCATTGCTAGAAACTGTGTTTTGATACCTGTGGTAGGCAGAGCACAGATAGCCCATTGTGCAGTTTTTGGTTTAACTACAAACAAACAATACAATAAACTCTTAAAGTCAACCATTTATAATGTACATTTTATTAAGATATTACCACCATAAGATGACATACAGCAATACCAGTGGGGCAAAAATATCTTATTGAATAAGAATATATACTATACACACTTCAATAACATATAAAATATAGTATTATCAACTATTTTTACAGGGTTATGGAACCTAAAGCCTCCACAGTGTGTTAGTGGCACGAAATTTAAGCATTTTTAAAGCACAACTAGATTTTGTTTTTAATCACATTGGTCAAATATTCAATTTGTGGATGTCTGTTAAATTACATATGTTGCATGTTAGAACTCTTAGTTAGTATGGCAGATTTTCAAGAACAACTGCAATATAGATTTCCCAAAGAAATCATATAATATTTCAGAATATTTTTTTCCCATAACATATGTGGCTCAGCTTTATTTACTACATTGTTGTACTAATTATGGTCAAGTAATAAGATGTGTATTTAGCAAAACTTAAATGTATGAAAGTTAATACTTCATAAGGATTTGAATAACACATTCAGGTGAGCAAGTCATGTTTAGGCATTATAGAAAGCATTTTTATAAAATGGGCTACTGTGAGTAAAATTTCCTGATATTTTATATGTATATCTAAAAGTTATTTAAATAAAATATGTTTAGTTGAAAAATTATTATTTCTGTATATTTTTATTTTTAGTTCAGCTGTATATAAGCTTTTGTAAATAATTAATAATAATAATTTTTTTAGACCAGGAGAAAATCTCGATCAGGATCTGTATCCCTTTCTGCAGCTAAAGTTGGACGAAAGAAATCTCCATTAACAATTGCTGGTGGCACCCACTCAAGCCGTCCTCTTCGTTTACCACCTATTAAAACAACTTCAAAAAAGAGCTCTGAAAATCAATCTGGAAAAAAATGTGCTGTTGGTCTTAACTCACATTCTCAGACTGGTATATCAATTTCAAGTCCGCTTGTGCAAAGAGAATCGGAATTTGATGCAGGTACACCTTTGACAGTTGAAAGCAACAGCAATTACCTGTCAACTCGTTTTCAGCAAGATACAATGCAGAATAATGAAAAAATTTTATCATTGTGGACTAGAGGTAATGGTAGTTCCTCTCACAATAAGGAAGATGATGAACTGGTTGATCTGGCTGCTAGCCTTTTGTCTATACACCTCTCTCAAAGTCGCCAAAAGCCATGGAGGCAAAACCTTTCCAGGCCAAGAGATACTCCTGAATCTCGTTCTTCAAAATATACAAGCTACGAATCTCTACCTCAGTGTGGAAAATCTTCAGGTCTTGGTGTGTCGCAGTGCAGTAACATTTCAACTAATAATGAACTTTTTTCATCCATAAATAATTTACCTCAGAAAGACAGAACTAAGAATAAGGGAAGTATTCCTTCACCTAAAACATCCAATAATAGGTCAAAGAACTCAACTCGACTTATGTCTGAAGGAGGAACTCTTCCCACTGCTTCCAGGCGGTTACTTGACCTGGATCAGTGGCTTCAAAATCGTCCACGAACTACTCCTGTAAAAGGAGATGTGTATAGACCATTTGATGGACTGTTGAAAAATGGACGATTTTGGGCATCAAGAAACTCTTTCAACAATGATCTACAAAAAACAGATTCTTCACAGTCCAATAGTCATCTTTCTTTGAGCAGCTCCTTTAATAGTACAGTACTCAGTCCCCTTTCCCACTCCCTTTCAGATTATCGTGACAGAAGATGGTCACAAAATCAGCTAGTGCCTTTGTTTATTTCATCTCGTGAAAAGTTAAATTCGTCTCCTAAAATATCTGATCAAGCAATGTTGAATAGTTCACAAGACAAATGTGAGTATGATAGAATGTCTTAGTGACTTTCTGCAGAAAGTTTCTTTAAATTTAAATATTTTCCTGTCTTACATAATTTTGCAGTATCGGAACAGATATTTGAATGTAGTTACTTAGATTTAACAAGTAATTATATGATATCATTTACTAACTCCAAACTAATGGAATAATAAGGGTAGTAAGTCAGTCATGGTACATTTACTTCAGCTGTAATATAGATTAATTTTTAATCCAGCTATGTTATAAACGTTATTAGTTGGAAAAGAAAGAATAAAAACAGTTTTAATTTAAATGCAGTTGTTCATAATACATTGATAACGCAATAAAATAGTCATACATTTTAATCTAGAATTGTTTTATAATATAATACTTTATTGAAGCTTGGCATACGGCATATAATAATAGAATGAAAAATTATCAAACAGACAAGAAATTAAAACTGTTTGAAAAACATCCAAGATTTGTGTCTACTGAAAGGAAATAGTTTTTATACAGTATAAAAAAAATTCAAAGTATATAGTACACAATGTACAGATGTTGAATGACTTCTAAAGTCAAGGACACGATGGATCTGCATACAAGTAACTTCAAAAATATCTAACTTTATCTGCATGAAAATGTGAATTTTATTTCAGTTTTCTTGGAAAAATAAATTTATATGCACTGTTCTCTTTTCATATGATTTTTTGATAGATTTGGTGTTTTAAGAGTGCTATAGTCCTCCTCTTTTGAAATTTTAAGAAAAATAGCATATGGCTGAAACACCAACATTTGTTAGTATTTTCTAAATATCCACTGTTATGATTTTAAAGCTTATTAATGAAATTGATTATCTGCTGTTTACATATATTGTTCTTTGTTGATTCACATGTTGTTACTCTCAGGAATTGTTCAAATATGACACTGTAATAGGTTGAGCTACAGAAGTCAAAGGCAAACTTAAAGTTTTTCATTGCATTTAAATGTTTTATGACCCAGTTACTGTCAGTCACATGTGTAGACTTTGCATTTATAAATAATGTTTGAATAAAAGTAAAATGTATAATTGTTTGTAAGCAATTCCAAAAAAATTAAAACTTTTATTATTTATTTTTTAATAAAACTCTTATAACAGTCATTTACAAGTTAATTGAGTGAGGTTTTTTTTTTTCTAATCATTAATATTTACTACTTGTGGTGGCAAAAATCTTGATAAAGTTGAACACATGAGCCCACATAATTCAAAATAACATGTTAGAGGCATCATTGAAATTTGTATGTATTTGCAGATTAAAAATTCTTTTAATTTGAATTGGGACTAGTTTTCTTGGATTGACATCACTTCATTTACATATTTTTTGGTAAATTCTGTATAAATTAATGATAAATTTATAAGCATTAATAGATCTTTATTCAAAAAACAATTAATTGTATGTATCATTTCAGTAAGTAGAACAGGAGCAGTTTATTATTCACATGTTTAGAAATTTTTACTTTACCAATCAGGTTCTCATTTCATGCTGTGTAAGAATATTATGTTTTTGAGTTATCTGCATATATTTAAGTGATTCTCCAAGTTTGTTTTTTAAACATGAAAAATTTGTAATAACTGTAGTTTTATCTTTATTCGCAACTTATGTTTATGACTCATTCATTAGAATAATCATTTATCTTTTCTCTGAATAACAGCTAAAAAAAATGGAAAGCCAACATCTCCAGCTGCTAAAAATGAAGGTGTATCTTGTCGTAAGGTATGTTTTTGTTTTATTCTAATACAAGTAAAAACTGTTTTTGACTGTGCTTTCTTTTAATTAAAACATTAGATGTATTTATATTTTTACCTGTAGCATTTTATTCTATAAATATTAAAGATGTTTTTGTCAATAGAATGAAATGATTGAAGTAAAAAATATGAATAAAGACTAAAAAAATCATTATTGATTGTACAGTAAAATGCTTCAGGTTGAAATGTAGATAAATCTAAAATTTTCTTTAACATAAAGTGTGAAAAAAAATGTTTCTATATATATACACACACACACACACACACACACACACACACACACACACACACACACACACACACACACACACACACACACACACAGTACGTACTAACTTCGTAGTAATAATTTAAACTTAACTTACTA